GCCCAGCTCCAGGTTGAGCTGTTGTTCAGCATCTTAGCTGTGGAGAGCAGTGTCACTGGCCCTCATATGTGGGATCTGAACCGGGGCCCTCTGGCATCCCAAACCAGTTCTTAACCATCGTGCCACTCGGCCGGCCCAACAAATTTTTAGTATCTGTTAAATTTGGTGATGGGTATATGGGTGTCCACTTTACTAGTCTATTTTTTGTAAGGTTAAAAATGTTCACAATACATTAAAAAATAAAGGACAAAATGAATTTGGTAGTACCATTAAAATTTTAAATTCACATTCCCTATTGCCTAATAATTTCACTTCTAGCAAATAGGGCTATTCTCATAAAAACATAAAGAGGATGCACTAGGAATGTTTATTTCAGCACTGTTTGAAATTATGAAATATTGAGGCGAAAATAACAAAATCTAAATTCAAAACTAGGAGAATGGTTAAATATTCAATATACCCATACCACACAATACTTAAAAGGAATGAAGTATATCTCTACATAACATTGACAAATAATAGTGAGACATAGTTGGTAAAAAAAATAAGAGATAAAAAGTGGGGTTGCTAACAATACATCAGCATGACACTATCAATGTAAAAAAATAAAAAACCAGAGAGAGATGTAAAGCCATAAAAAAGAGTATAGAAGGATTACACCCTCCGAAAGCCCTCCAAAATAGTAATTTATTTCCAGAAAGAGAGTTGGGGGAGGGAAATTCAAAGGCTTTGCTTTATGCTATTTTTTATAATGAAGATGTATTTTGTACATTTTGTATAATTAAAAATAAGCATAAATCAAATAATGAGTTAAAATACATATTTTACACTTTAAAAATTTTACAAAGTAAAATCCTTACTTTATACATGAATTTTCAAGGATTATCTGAGAATACAAATTGTCTTTGTAGTATCAACTGGCAGAGTTGTACCAATATTTTTTTTAGTCTGTTTCCATATTATGTGGTTTTAGATAGAGAGACGTCAACAAAACTAAAGCCTCTGTCTTTTATTTGCTCTTATTTAAAACACAAGTGAATTCCCTTGGTAGTTTAAGTTTTCAAACCTTTATCTTTTAATTTACTGCCCATTAAATTTGGTATAATAAATAGGTTAAGCCAAGCTCCTATTTTTCTGCAAGGTAATTAAATGTTCTAAGTACCTTAGCATTTCCTAGAAAGGGGTGAACTCTAAGATCATTACACAATAAGGTAGTCTTCTCCCAAAAAGACGCCCTGTGAGAGATGTCTCTTATTCTTCTCTTGCTTGCAAAGACATTCACTCTGTATACAAGAGCCATGCATACAACACTGAAATACTGAATCACAACTCAGGGAATGTTTCTTCATTCTGCCGCCACTTAACCTTTATTTTTATTGTTTGCATTGTGGTCATTCACATTCACAAGTGTGCTGTAGTATAAGGCTTTAACCTTTTTTTCCCTACATATAGATTGTTTGCTTCCTTATGACCGGCACCAATCCTTCAATTTGTTGTATCTCTCCCCCAAAAAACTATCTTCTTTATGGCGTTACAAAATATTTGAGAAACTAACGGGAAATGTGTAATAAGGGGCAGTGTATGATCTTAGAGAAGTTTATAATCAAGACAGCGTCTTTATCTACTTTACACTTGCAGGGAAAATGTTTTCACTCTCTTTACAAGGTATTCTAAAACAGGCAAAAGTAAGGCCAAAGGCTAGCTGGTTCCCTTTCTTGGAGAATTCCTCATAGAGTATATGTCTGCACTGTCCAATGGGGGAGCGGCTAGCCAGTGTGGCTACTGATGCTTTAAAATGTGTCTAGTCCGAAAGAAGATGAGCTGTAAGTTTCAGACACCAGATTTGAAAAGCTTAGTACGAACAAAAGGTTGTAAAATATCGCGTTCATTTTTTTTAAACTACAAGTTAAAACGGTATCTTGAATATAGTGGGTTAAATAAAATATATGAAAATTTTCACCTATTCTTCTTATTCTTAATTTCAAGTTACATACGTAGCTCGCTTTGTATTCTTCTACCGGACAGCGCTGGTCTAGGTAATACTACCCAGCTGACACTAAATCTGTTTCGTTCCCTCGCGTTCCTCGGGCTGCTTCTACCGGAGCGTCGAGTCCCGCTAACCCTGCCGAAGCCTGGCACAGACTCTTGAGCCCTGAGACCTGGGGTAATGGGCTAATAAGACCAGAGGTGGCTACTGGGCCCGTACCCACTGCGCATCTCGCAGCGCTGGCTCCCGAATCTCCTCCGGCAGCGCGTCCGCCAGCTGTTGCACGAAGGGGCTGCACAATTCCAGAATTTCCATCACGGCCCGCTTCGAGGTGCAGCGCACCCGGAAGTCCTCACGGGAAGTGGCGGGGACCGAGGTCGGGTCTTCTGTCCAGACCACTCTCTCCGCGTCCAGCGGAGGCGAAAGGACCGCCGACTCAGAAGCCCCCGCCATTTTTCCTGTTTGAACTGTGGGCGGGAATTCTGGGAGCGGAAGCGAGTTCCGCTGGAGGAAGGTGCAAGCGTCGCGGGCGGAAACTCAGTCCGCCGCCGCAGCAGCGTTCCGCCTGAGGTTCGGCGGGCGTGTCAAGCGCTACAGCAGCCGCGGCGATGGGGGCGGTGGGCTTGGGGATGGTGGACTGTCACTGTCATCTCTCCGACCCGGACTTTGACCGCGTATGTGAGGGCGACATCAGGCCGGAGGGAGCGGGGAGACCCCCGTTGTTTTCCCCGTCAGGTTACCTTTGCTTTCCTCTCTTAGGACGAAGTCCCAAATCCTCCCTATGGCCAGTGTGGTTTGCTCTTGACTCCATGTTTAAATTAACCTTAGTCATACTGATTTTTCTTTCTGATTCTGAATAGCGATAAGCCCTCAGTCTCCACTTTTATTTGCTATCCCCGGTTACACCGGCTCCCTCCCACTCACCGCGTGCTCCAGTTCTCATGGGGGAGAGAAGCAAAGAGAAAGAGCTAAACACACACAAGATCATAGTTACTCAGTGTCTTACTCTCTGCATTGGAAAGTAGAGGCTCTTAATAGAGAAGGAAGAGTGAGTCAATTTTAGGGGGAAACCTCTCAAGAGGTGACACTCAGGTTGGGATTGGAAAGACAGAGAGCCAAGCCACACAAGGAGATGGGTGTGTGGTGGTGAGGAAAGCAGGTTGAATTTGGCACGTTCATGCTGCCACAATGCTGGATCGAGCCTGATCAGCTAGAAAGAGAGAAACATGAAACAAGACACAAGAGGTTTGCAGGGGATAAGTGCGGTAGGGCAGTGAGGAGTTTGGATTTCATTAGAAGAACAATGCAAATCTAGTAAAGGGTTGGTTTTTTTTTTTTTTTGAAAGGAGAGTGACAAGATCTGATACCCATTTACAACCATTTTGCTGATGTGTGGCAAACGGATAGAGAGCAAGAGTGGAAGCTACAAGACCAGTTTGAAACAGATGATGGTGGTTAAATGGATAATTTGAGAGGAGAAGTAGGTGGATTCTGGTATATTTTAGAGGTAGGATCTATAGTATTTGCAGAGGACTTGGATGTGAAGAGGGAGGGAAAGAGAGGACTTGATGCTGTAAGGAAGATGGTGGTGCTTTGTACTGCGATCAGGGAAGACTGAGGTTGGGGACGGCAGGCTGAAGGAATAGGTGTGCTGGGGAGAAAATAAAGAGTTATGTTTGGCACATGTTGAGGCCTAATATCCATCCAAATGGAGATGTCATATAGTCATTGTTAAATGTGAATCTTGGGTTTTGGAGAGGATGACAGGCTGGAGATAAAAATTGGGGGCTCGTTAGTATAATGATATTTAGTTAGTATACCAACTAACTAATATAGTATAGATAAGTACTATACTACTAGTACTAAGTATAGTACTAGTAGTATAGATAGATAGATAGATAGATAGATAGACAGTATAGTATAATAACGATATTTACACCTGTGGATAAGATCATTTAAGGTGAGTAGAGAGAGGAGCAGAGAGTCCTGAAATCAGGAGAGAGAGCCAGTCAAGGAGACTGAAAAGTAGCAGCCAGTAAGAGAGTGGAAAATATTTCAGGAAGGAAGGCGTGGACAAGAGCAGAGTTCCTAATGCGCTGAGCTGAGCGGTAGAATAAGAGGAGGACGGGGACGTGTCCTTTACCTTGGCAAATAACAGTTTCTGGTTTAGTTGAGTGGGAACACAAGCCAGAATTTACTGAGAGAAAGACTAAACAGAAGGGGGTCGGGGTAGGCTCTTCAGTTTCCACTACAGTGTTCCTTGCCATCACTGTCATTCTTTATGGTGCCTCTACATTGCTATACACAGCTAAAGAGCAGTTACTTATTCCTCTAAAATAATTGTGATTACTTACACTTTTTTTAGGATCTGGATGATGTGTTGGAAAAAGCCAAGAAAGTAAGTCAGTATCTATAGTTGCCTTGTTTTTCTTTTCCTACTAATTTCAAGCTTGAAATTTAGATACGCTATGTTGATGCTTCAGTAACAAAACGTTAATAATTTTTTTTTAAAGATTTTTATTGGTGAATTGGGGGGATGGGAACAGTGCTGGGGAATTGGGGAAAGGGGAACAGGCAAGTTGCTGTCCTTTTGTTCTTCAGTCTAGTTGTAGAGGACGTTGCTTCACTGGCCCAAGTTGGCACCATCATTGCGCTCTTCCAGGGCGAGGCAGATCAGTCGCCGGCATCTGGACGGCCGCTCACTGCGGCTGCTGGCCGCTCACGCTGGCTGCTGGCTACA